GTTTCCAGATATAGCTGTTTCAAATCAAAGTTATCAGCATATAATGACAGATCAAATTCATCATAGGCAGTAGAAAAATAAAACAATGTGATCCTAGGTGAAATTCAACCTGGTCTTCAATTTTTTATTTTTTTTTTAGATCTCTTGTGCTGTAGAATGGTCACTCTCAAATACTTTGTCAAAGTATTCCCCTTTTGATGGGGGTTTGGGTGCTCTTCCCAACTTCTCCTTCAATCAGTGAGATTGAGATCCTCAGACGGAGCAAATCCAAAGTGCTTCATGAGTGTCAGTGAAATAAACCTCATATTTTTGCTGTGAACGAGTGCAGGTGGGTTGAGAGCTTTGCGTGATGTTGCAGAACTAAGAATTCTCCATCGTGTCCTACGGGTCAGTACGGCTGCCCCTAACCCCTCAGGAGCTGTCTGATGGAGGTCATCAGACTTCTACAAACCTCATGCTCCTCTGGACAGAAGTCTGGCAGTCTGCTTTCTAATGAGGTTCAATTTATGCAAAATAACTTTGGGAAAGTTTGAGGTTGTATAGTCATCTATTGGGATTGTTTTAAGTAGTTGTAACGTGGTTAATAGTTGGTCACTTACTGCTGATTAAGTTCTATATTAAGTAAGTGCAGAAGCACCTTATGTTTTAAACACAAACATCTTTTAAAATACATGGCTCAGAAAACCTGCCTCTCCCTTTTTTTTTTTTTTTTCGCTAATTTAGAGCTTTGAAGGTTAGATGGCAGGCATTAGAAAGATACATAAAGCTGCAGCAAAAATCTTATCTGTGCACTGGGAAAAGTGTGTGAGAGTGTGTGTGTGTTTGTGGCATTTTTGTTGGGACTGTTACTTCTTCTGAATATGTTTGCAAATATGACCCAGCAGCCATGGTCTGATGCAGAGATCCTTGCTGCTGTCTCAGAGCTGTTAGATGTGCACACAAGAAATGTGCACAACTGGACTCTAGATATACTGGAAATTACAGAAAATAACAAAATGTTGCCATTCCTGGTCACAAATAATAACTGACCAGCATTAAATGTTAGTTGGTCTATATGGAATCTTTCTTACTCCACATCTCTGTGGAATAAAAGTGTTGGCTTGCTGAGGGTTATGTAGGTGTCCTTCCTAAAGCTTAACATGCAGCAGGAGAAATGGGAGTGTAATTAAATTTTTAACAGGAATAGACCTTTTCATACTGACAATTCAAGACCCGCTGTACTCATTAACGATTACCAGGAGCTGTGTAAGGCATTTGGTTTTATGAAGATAGCGGCAGAAGGCTTTAAAAGTGTCGTGATCGCACTGAGCTAGGTGATAACACATGCAATCAGAAGCCCTGCTTCAACGAGCTTACAGTCTTGGTCCTACTGAAAAGAGCATTAACCCCAATCACGTGTGAAATGAGGGTGACGGTGGTGGGAAGACCCGTGGTGAGGCTCCTGCTGCAGTCTGGTACCTGGTGCTCGACTCATGGACGGGAAAGAGTGTGACCGACAGATCCAGCTACATGCAGGGGGTTGCTGTGCTTTGCCTCTGCAAAGAGAAAGGGCCCATTTCACTTTCAGCATGGTTTCCACATTGCTCCCAGCTTCTCCTTCCACCTCTCCCTATAAGATCTCCTGCTTGGGTATCACTGTCTGAGGCAAGAGCTGCGCTACGGCGTTGGGTCCTGCGCTAGAGCCTAGTTTATAGTCTTCACTGCCTGTGCTTGTAGAAGGAGATGGAAGGGATGTTTCAGGAGATGCTGTGGGAGAGAAAAGAAACAGGATTAAAATGGACTTGGATGCTGTTCGATAGAGCAGTGCCCAAATAAAATCAGCAAACCACCCTATGAACCAAGGAGTGGGAGCTTGGGGGATGGGGTGGGGAATCCATCCTAAATTCAGGCATGTTCCAGTAGATTCTTCCTTCCTGCCTGCCTGGATAAGGCATAGGGTGGACTGATAGGCACGTGCCAACTCTTCTCGATGTTTTGCACTTGGGAAATGTCCCTAACTGCTTTTTAATCCTTCCTCTCGTCACAGGAGAGCTCAACCTGCTGGCCACTACACTTCTTTTACAGAACACAGCATCTTTCTAATCATCTCCCTTGCTGCAAGGTGGCCTAAAAAACCCCCAGAAAGCTAAAATACATGATGCCAACATTTATACAGCTGAGAAATAGCAAAATATGCCACAAGAAGTAAACGATCATAGCTGGCAGAAGGAGACTGTGTGTGCAAGACACTGTGATTACATGGCAGTGGCTGTTACATTGCAACCCATGTTCTACTCTGTTTTTTAATAATATGGTCTGTTTGCTTCTACAGAGGATAAAAGCCTTAACAAATAACCATTGCCTAGCAGAGGGGTTGAAGATGGTCTTGTATTCAGGTCATAGTGTGTTCCAGTTGACAGCAACCAAGACGCTTTACATAGGGAAACTCTTGCCACTAATAACCATGTGTGCTTCTTTGTGGTATTTCCCAGTGCTGCCCACATTCATAGAAACACACTGTCACCAATCCTGATTCTTCTTTTTAATCTTGTGCTGTTTGGTAGCATCTCAAAATCCCTTTGGATCATGCTATTACGTGAAAAAATCTCAGCTTCTCTTTGGAAGCATATTTCCAGAGTCAGCAATGGGGGCTGTGAACTCTGAAGGACGTGTAATGCTTAAACACATAAATAGACCTAAAGGTCTTTTTCTTAGCTGCTTCTCCTATCCAGTCCCTTCATTATGCAGATGCTAATAGAGTAAAAATGGACACGTACGGTCTGGAGCGGTGTGAATCACAGAGCTCATGTTGCTTGGGAGGACGTGTCCTGGCAGCGGTTCCAGGTTGAGGTTGGGAGGTCCTGACTGGTACTGGAGATCAATGGTGGTTCCTGCAGTGGAAGTGGGAAAAGACATCATTCTTTGCATAGTTACCGAGAAGCCAGATGCTCTGGGCCAGGTCTCTTTTTTTTTTCAGAGACTGTGGGAGACCTCTGTGGGTGGGGGTTAATGTCCTGGCTTGTCTTTGCTTCCTTCCTGCTCCGCTGTTCTCTTTGCTCTCAGCCTTCTCACTATCTGGGATGGCTCTCACCAGATATCTTCTCACCTCCTGGGATGGCTGGGGTTTCACTTACTAACCGACTACACTGTTCATCTGTCTCTGTGCGTGTGTGTGTGTGTCTCAGTTACTGCTTGTATCAGGGTTTCCTGATATAACTTTTAGCATATTGCTAAAAGCAATAACTTTTGCATATTGCTAACAAAAAAGTGTGTTGTCTTCTTGCAAACTGCATCAGTTCCATAGGTTGCCTAAAATTCAAGTGCCCTGCTGGTGTGAAGCATCACAGAGTGTACCCACTTCTGTAAAACTGTCCCTGGGTCACATTTTCAGAGATAGGTTGGAAAGAAATGTCTTGGGGATTGGACTGGAGTGAGAAGGACTGATGTTCAAGCTGCAATTCAACCTGAGCCTTCACCTCCCTCCTCCTGAGACCAAGTTCTCTCTACCATACATCCTCCAGAGGACACAAGCCCAGACACGAAGTCCTGTAATGGCTTTGAAATAAAATAACTTTGCTGTCTTTTCTTAGCAGGGTTCGTACCTCCAAGCAGCATCTCCTGCAGCAAGCTGTCAATCCTGGCCACACCAAAGAGCTTCACGAACTGGACTTGCTCTATCATCTGCCAGGTGATGCTCTGCAGCGGGGGCAGCAGGAGGAGGATGTCGCTGAACCGGCCTCGGGAGTCATACTGGCGATCATTGATGTAGTCCTCCAGGTTGACTTGGACCTGGAAGCGCATGTTCTTCACCTTCCCAGGCTCACTCAGGCCTTTGCAGTCTGCAAGGGGGAAAAAATGAGGTTAATTGCTGGCCTGTGTAACCAGGAAGCGTTACCGCGTCAGTTGGGCTCTGGAGAGGGAAAGGGATGGGATGCTGGTGATCCTCTGACAATTATCTCAGAGTCTCCAAGTTTATCTGGCAGATTAGCATTGGGCTGCCACTATGTTGTATCCCATATGGAACAGGGCAACAGTAAGGGGAATTTGAGGGGAAACAGTAAGAAAATAAGAGATGGATATGTCTGGCTACTGCCGTTAGTGAAGAGGAAGCATTTAGAAGTTGAACCATAGTTGTACTTCCAAGGAAACAGCCTGGAATTTCCCACTTAAAACTTCAAGTCCCAACTACTGCTACTAAATCCGTGCAGGATTAGTGTCCATCTGTTGCAAATACACCCACTGCAGCATCAGATTCGTGTCTTGATTCCCTGTCTTTGACCTGTGGTTGATTCATTTTTCATGGACCACTGGTCCAGTTTTGCTTAATCATCAAGTGCACCCTGCACTTTGTGTAGGATGAAGTGCTGGGATTTACAACTTTCCTCTCCAACTATCTAAAACTGAGATTTCTGGCTCACTGGACCATTTCCTTCACTGCTTACAAAGAATCCACAGGTACCACATTTTAGAGACCATCACACCAAGATATTAGACAAAGTGGTTAACAAATTGTTGTATGTTAGTGTGTAACTCCATGGACGTGCCTACTTGTTAACATGAACAAATTTCACCCCTGTAGATCTTCACACTTTTTCATTTTAGATGAAATCACAGTCCCTCACTGTCACAATGATCTAAAACTTCACTGAAATACTGATCAGCAGAGAAGGTAATTTGTCAAACTCAATTTAGTAATGCGAACCCTGTTCAGATTTGCAGCAGGTTTTTGGCGAGCCACAGTTCATGATGTTTGTAAAACTCCTGTATCTTGATTTCAAATCAGTGAACACAGCAAAAAAATAACTAATGGAAGATGCTCTAATTTCTCCATGCTAATAAATGCCAAAGACAAAAGGACATTGTTCTGGACTTGGGATCGTTCCCCCATCTCTTCTCCTAGCTACAAGGCAACACACACTAAGGTACTGGACCTTTGTACCGAGTGGGGGGTTGTGCGTGTGCCGCAGGCATGTAGAAACACAGGAGTGTTTGGGGGGAACCTGGGCTGAGACAGAAACCCCCATGTTTGTGCAATGAGAATACAGCGAAGGTTCAAAACACACTTCTGTTCGCCTCTGCGAGTTTCCCTGTTCTCCATCCTGTACGGACCAGCCCTGCCCTCGGTCGGCACTGACTGCCAGCAAGAGCCATTAACAGACATCCTGGATATTTCTGGGTACTCTGAACCAGACCTCTGTGGTTTTTAATGCTGTTTTCTGAACTCTGATGGATGCTCTACACTGCTGCTCAGTTGACGCACTTCGCTTATGCATAATTCACTGTGGGCGCACATGTCCTTAATAGTCATCTCCTTCATTTCAGACTGATGGGTTTCCTGAAGCTACAGAAGCAGCAGAACTCCTCTAGGGTCTGCAGAGTCGTGCCGGAGTTAATACTTGCTAAAGAGTGAAGTGTTCAGGAATAGGTCACTTCTAACGTGTCCTTGCTACACTGCTAATTATTGCTCATTACAGCAGAGGCAGGGTGAAATGTAGAGCTGCTGCCAAGAGGGTTTCCTGGTTATTGGAGAGCCCTCAACTCCTTTTCAAGCCCCGTGTTCGGCAATCAGGAAAGATGCTTACCTGGATCAAAGAAGATGATGGCTTTAAGGCAAGCGTACTCGTTGTCATCTATCTGGATGTCCCTCAAGGGCTTCACCAATTCATCCAAGATTCTGGTGGCCACACGAGCAATTTCCAGTTCTGGGCAGTGCATTGGGATGATGAAGTCATTCCCTGGGGAGACAAGAGAAACTCAGCATTGGCTTTTCATTCTAGCGCTGCGGACACGGTCTCATCCAGAAGTTACCCCAGGTACATTGCCAGACAGTCCCGGTGCCCATGTGCAGCAGATTTCCAGCATGCAGCTTCATACTCGGATTCACGACTGAGAAGCAAGCCATGGATCTCATTCTTTGGTCCTTAATTATCTCGTTTGCACATGTTGGTGCACCCACACTGTACACAAAGCCTGCTCCATGTTCTGCTCTGGTTTACCCTCTGTTATACCTAGCATCTGTTTGCAAGTGGTGTTGCATCTTTATTTTTGGTGTGAGGGTTTTTTTTAAAAACAAAATTCTCCCTCCCTCTTTTCTTTAATGTGTGGCTTTCAATGTCAGTATTCTCATTTTTCCAAGAATAATCCTGTGTTTTTGGTGTCAGAGAGCTACATTAAAAGGAAATACCTGTTGGCACTATAATTTTTAATAGACCTTTCTGCTAAGTTTTTAAGCGCCGATACCCAAATACCTCATTGCCTGTGTCCTGGCACTTTCAGTTACAAAAACAAGGCAACACAGTTTCAGATGCCATTTAAATACTGGGGATTTTCTGATCCACAATTTCAAAGCAGTAAGGGAACAGTTGTGAAAGTCCCAGTGAATTTTCTTACTCTTTTTTATACTTTCCCAGAGACCTTCTCAAGCACTTAGTCTAAAGCCAGACATGCAGACCATGACCAGGAGTCATGGTGCAGAGAGGATTTCAGGCAGGCAGGACACTTGGCAATGACTTGGGTGTGCAAATTATAAAAGCAGGAGTCTATTTCGCTACTTTACCTAATAACAGAAAATCGGTGTATGGTATGGATCGCTTGGCTACCCCGAGCAGCAGGTGTTCCCCTGCATGGGCTCTGAGCAAGGCAACCTGGAGGTGGCACAGAAGAAAGAAAGAATATTATGTTTGAAAAGCACAGAACAGAAGGGTGAGCTATTGCTGTTTCGATTAAGCCAAATTTGATGGTTGCTTAGATAAGTCAGATCTGCAGATGAAGTACTATGAAGAGCTAGAAATTATTAGTATATCTTCACTTTTCAGAAGTGTTACATTCAAGGCAAACTGAATAAAAAGTTGTTTTCAACTGAAAGAGCAAAGAGCAGCTTGAGTAATTTGAGTTCTTGGGAAATAAAAGGGGATTATATTCAACTATCAAGCACCAATAAAGGGAAAACCAGTCTTTTTTGACTGGGTCCTTGTGCAAACTGAAGTGACCAACTCTATTATATTTTGGGGGACTTTGGCTACTCGATTTATTTTTAATCGATCCCTGTCCTTTACTATTCTTTCTCACCTGCTAGTTTGCTGCTCTGCATAGGGTGATCTATATGTTAATGCCAGATTCTCCTGTTGAAAGGTATGGCTGGGAATTCCTATTGAAGGCGGTGGGTTTGCAAGGAAAAGGGATTTGTATTTTACCTGGTCGTCAAGCGGGAGCTCGCAAAATGCCGGGATGTATTTTGCCCATTCAACCAGCACCAGCAGCTGCTGTTTCATGGATTCACACACATCGTTGATGGTTGCAACCTTCTTCATTGCAATGTCCACGCTGTGCACCGGGCTCAGCGATGAATACTGAAAGAGAAACAACCCGGTTGCATTGGGACCAGATCTTTGCTGTTTTGCCATTCTCGATAGCAACGATCCATTGATAACGTGGGGAGCCTTCACAGACATTAACCTCATCAGGTTGCTGAGAAGGCGTTTGCCGCTGTGGTTGCACACTTATTTGCTCAGTGGTGTGTGCTTGACCGACCCATGGAGAAGCCTCCACGAGGTGGTGCTCAGTCCCAACAGACACCCCTCCCTCCTCTGCCTCCTTCCTCACTCTCCAGGCTGGCTCAGGGCAAAATCTGGTTAATCTTCCCATTCCCAGCAGTAGCCAGCAGCATTGGGTCTCAGCTTACCGTCAATCATTTAAACCAGCCAAATGCATGAAAGACATCCAACCTTCCTCCCCCAAGTAGGTGCCTGGGACACAAAACACCCATTTCAATCTCTACAGAGCTGCGTGGC